ATGAAAATGGTTCTGGGATTTGCAATAGTCCACTATTTTAAATCAAACAGTGGACTATTCAAGCAAGTTGCATTTGTGTTTCAACACATTTCACGATGATCTTCAAAGGCTATAAAAGGGGGAATGCAAAAAGACGTAATCTAGATAGATTTCACTCACCTGGTAGTCCATATCAGGACCAAGTACACCATCTCGTACATACTGCATGGTAGGTGGAGTAGTATCAATTGTCACACCATTTGAATGACCTGCTGAACATCTTTGAGCATTATTACATGCAACCACGGTAACATAGTACGTGTCACCTTGCTGAAAGTCCAGTCCATAGTGACTGGCATTTTGTCTCTGTCCTGTGCTCTCGCACTGCCGAATGTCATCCAGCATGGGTTTTGATCCTACGCACCAGAAATACTCTGCTATGTCGCTCTCGTTGTCAGCAAAGTCGATCCATCGAGCGTGAACTTCGGAGGTATTATTAGTGTAATCAATGTCCGTATCTTGGAAGCTACGTGTAGAACACTGACTATCTTCGCCGAACGTTTCGTTACTTGAGCAGTTCATATTTTGGTCGCTTCCTAGGCCATCATACACAGTACCCACCACTGGAGATGTTGTATCGATAATAAACGGCTCTGATTCAGATGTTGTTGACATACCTGCACGAGTTGTCTCAACTAACTTTATAGTGTACTCGTTGACTGCACCTTCTTCGAAAAATGTACCGTTCATTTGGATTATCTTAATTCCATTGGTCTTGTTGATGATCTGTTCGTTGAGAGGACACAATTGATTGTCGCACATTTTGGTGGTAAAATGAACAGGATCGTCAACAAGAGGTGACACGCATTTACGTCCTTCACAAACTGTGCAAATCGATGTGATCCCTCCGAGTGACCTGCGACCCTCCTCGCAGGCTTGACATTGGTATGATTCGATTCCACCATTCACCTTGGATATCTTGACTCGTTTGTAGTTTCTAGGGCAATATTTGATCGTATAAAGCCGACCTGTCCCATAGTTTACGCTAACATTAGGCCATGTAAGAATCCCTGGAGTCCCAAACACGATATTAGATCCGTACATGGCTACGCTAGCACGTGGAATCCCATCATCAACTSGAGGGTGATTTTCTCTTGAAAGAATTGTTCCTAATCCAGTGCACTTGCCTTGGTCATGGTCTGGACCATATGCGAATACACCGTTGAAAGCTATAAGTATAACTCCATCACGACCTTGTGATGTTTGCATCCCAAGTGCAACAATAGTCCCACCGTCTCTGTCCATCAAGTCAAAACTACCGCTAAGTCGCGATTGAATTTCAATTGGAGGGACATACGTGCAAAGTAAGTTAAAGGACTTGGATGGAATGTTCAGCCTAAGAACGACAGACTTTGCTTTGGCCTTGGAGACCATAACCAGTTCATTTTGTTTCGTCAGTCGAAGAGATGGTTCCACCATGTTAATACTCGAGTGTTTGAGATCAATTTTCATGATGACACTGAAGTCAGTCATCGAATAAATGACAACCTTGGGTAACGCAAGACCTCCTGTTGACACTGCTAACACGCCGTCATTCATTGCGATGTCTCGTCCAAAGTATTGATCATTCTCTGCAGTTCCCAATTCCTGATGCAGCTGCCATGCTCCATTCATTTGACGGAAGATCCCAATCACGCTGTTATTCGAGGATGTTATTCTTCCTGTTGCCGCAATGGTCGTTTTCTGTATGACAACTTTTTTGCCATCCAAATTTGGCCACGTTTCGTTGGAAACACAAGGGTTTGTCTTACAGCTCGAAATAGTTGCCTCGGGTTGGAGTTTTATGTCCCCTTTCTCTGAGAAATCGTATCGGTAAACTTTTATCATTCCATTAGACGCTAGAGTAAGCCGATCTTTAGAGTATGAAAGAGCAGTAGCCGAGGTCATTTTTATAACCTCCTTCTTCAGTGTCCTGTTTTTGGACGAGAAGATAAAGAACTTGTCGGACGAAGCAACGGCTATGTAATCATGAGGGAGCAAAGCAACAGATGACCCAAATTTCTGTGTTGGTAAAGTAGGCTTGTAGTGGTTGTCTGTCAACATATTGGGGGAATCTGWTGTGTAGTTGGCACAGCATGGACCTTGAGGGTTTGAGAAACCAGGTAGTGTTTTCATTTCTAAACTATTCTCTGTAGTGTTAGTTTCRTTAGAATCTGAGGTTACTCTGGTAACGAGGACCTTGAATTCTTGAGTGGGACTGAAATGGCCACTTTCCAGAAGATCGTCTTCAAGGGCTAGTTGCGATGAATTTGTGGCATTAATTCCAGTGCTCACAGCAACTGAAAGTTCACTTGGTGAAGAAATATAGATGACTTCTTTGTCCAACGCACTTTTGTTGATGGGAGGTAAATGAAGATTTGGTAGCCATCTTGCTCGCTCGTTTTCTGGTGAATTGTCCCGAATAAACAGTTGACGAGCTAAAGGTGCTCTGGGCTCAACACGAACACCATCGCTGCTAGTCTCATCATAGATTCCYCCTTCGTTCCAAACCCGTACCACCCCACGATACTGTATCCATGGTTGCAGCTGTACACTCTCAACAGTCACGTTTCGCTGCGATCCATGGACGTTCATGAAGTCCTGAGCAAAAGGCTCGCCATTCCAACCTTCTCTTTTATTCAGTCTWGGTAAACTCCTGTTSCGAGAAGTGGAAGTTACTGCTACTTCAAGACGCATGCGTGAAATATCGTCCAGAAACTTTCCAATCAAACTCCATTTCAAGGTCAGACTTTTCATGTTTGCCATCCAATCCACATCTGTGGGGTYACTTGTATTTGAGACCYCCAGATCCAGTACATCAACCACTTTWGGAGCGACAGTTATAACCAAGCATCTTTTAGAGTTGAGAACAGTTTTCAATCCAACATTATTTACTACATTGACCGTTGCAAAGAGYTCCGTTCCTGAGGATATTCGAGTCGTTATTGTTTTGCCACTTAAACTCAAAACAGCCGACGTCAAAGGTAAGACGTCACAAACTCCATTTCTGGTGCCGACGCACCATTCGTACTTCCACATTCCACTCTCAGGATCATCAAACTCGTCCCAGTCTACACTAAGCAGCTCTTCAGTGCAAGTAAACCTGATATAAGAGCTTGGACTTGAACTTGGCATTTGTAATAAGTCATTTGGCACACTATTGTTATTGAATCCATTTGGTGCAACTGTTGGTCTATTGTCAGAAGTATTTTGATCTTGAACCTCGTCAATGACTTTAGGTGGGGTGGTGTCTATTAGAATTGGTTTTGTTKTTACCGTGGCAGACAATCCAACACCATTCGTGCCTTTTATTGTCACATGGTAGGATCTCCCATGATCTAGTTTCAGTCCAGAAAGTACATAACTGGTGGTTTGACCAACGTTCACGAAGTTCGTCTTGTTGCATTCAATGGATGACACGCTGGCACAAATTTCATACTTGACAATTCCACTTTCRAAATCTTCAAACGGCGACCATCTAAAATAAAAATAATGTTGTGTATTAAAATCCATCAKTACCAATTAAATTTGTTGAATTGTTTTCTTCTTACTTATTAATGCATAGCACAGCGATGCATAGGATTTGATGCAGRTTGGACTTATGGGGATGGATGGTTGAGGGTAGACTCATAAGGGAATAAGTGGTTTGCTACCTCACCCCACCCTACCTCTTACATATTAGAATTCCTAAAAAATTAACACCTATAAACGATCACACCCACCCCCAGATCCAGGACGTTCGGTGGAAATCACGATGCTCAACAAAAGTCGTGATCCTTTTATTCCACTTCCATAAGTGTGAAAGATCTTTTAAAAATTGGTATTATTTAGCTATATTACCTGACATGAAGTTGATTRTCTCTGGATTGGAAAAGCTGGTGTTTGTTCCCCGGTCCCAGCCAAGCCTCTTTTTCTTTTGGTGGACTAAAGTCGACTGTGAATCCATTTGAYGTAGAAACTGTCTGCAGACCAGCAAAGTTGGTTGCCTTGACAAACACTATGTACATGGCTCCACTATCAAGATCCAATCCTGTAAATACCAAAGATCGACCTTGTTACCATAGTAAAAAATTATCACCATTTTTTCATTTAGAGATAATCTAGGAATAAACTGTGATTTTCAACGGATGGGCACAAACGGTTTTCCCTCTTTCCCACTTCCACTCTTCMTCATCATCATGGCACCACATCATGTAAAAATGTACACAAAATAATTTCATTGATAAATACCTGCAAATCGCACTTGCGTTGTATTATAGACCGTGGTGTAGGGTTGTGGACAGACAGTTAGGTTTCTGGCATCACAAACAGCAACCTCATATCGCTCTATTCTACTTTCCTTATCAGCAAAACCTGACCAGTTTGCTTGCACRTCGTCATCTCCATAAAGGYAGYTRATATCCTTTGAAGAGTTGCCGTCTACGACTACACCCGATTCAGGTGGAGTATTATCGACTGTCACGCCATCGGAAGACAGCGTTGTTGTTCTCCCTGCACCATTTGTTGCCCTTACCGACACGAAAAACTTCTGTCCATTTCTCATGGGTGAATCTAGTATGGTATGTACATTATGTATCCATGGAGATATGGTCTTCATTGGTACTATGTCACATACTCCACGAACTGAACCTGCACACCACGTAACCTTTACAACGTCACTTTCAGGGTCTTCGATCGATGTCCAGTGTGCTTTGATGTCAGTGGTTGATTGCTGGAAGTTGATGTCTTTGCCTACTGTGTCACCATCGTTAATCATACCACTAGTTAAAGGAGCTATGGAGAAAATTAAATCTGGTTAAAAAATGAGGCTTTAGATATTCTAGCAAAAATAAAAATAAAATAATAATATCTTTATAAGACTAGTAAAAGAGACCAATACATTTACATTACAATACAATTAAAAGGCCAATTTATAAGCATCAGTTCTTCTTGAATGTTTATATCTTAACTGTTGATTTCAGTTATCGTCAACCTCAGAACACTTAAAACGATAACTTTTTTCCTGTTATTATCTGTATTTGCTCATTTGCGGAYAAGAAATACAATTTGCTTTGGTAAGGATATGACTGTGTAGGCAAAGAAACACTTATTTTTACCTGTTGCGTCCATTAAGACTCCATCTGATGACGCGATGTCACTTCGCAGACGTGCTTCGTTCTCAGCAATAACAGATACGTAATACATAGTATTATGCTCTAGACGTATTCCTGTGAACTTGTATTCCGTGTGATTACCAATATCAGTAAAATTGACCATGTTGCATCCTCCAGAGTACTTGCCTAGGCAAATGTAATATTTTGAAAYGGAAGATTCCTTGTCCCAGAAACCACTCAAACGAACTGAAATATCTTTGCTGGTGAAACTTCTTCCAAAACTCTCAAGAGAATTGGACCCATTTGTGATGTGGCTAATTTCACCTGTGACTGGAGGAGTGGAATCCAATAGAAAACCATCAGATACACGAGTAGTACTCAGTCCCACGCTGTTCGTTACGCGTACGATGGTCACATACTTGACACCTTCAGCTAACTTCAGATTAGACAGACAGACAAGAGTCTTCTTACCCACATCAATGGACGAGGCAATGCAATCATTATGGTTCAGGTCCAAGCAGACAGATACTTCACTTTTGCTGATATTACTCTCATAATCACGAACAGTCCAGGCTGCACAGTACTCTACTTTAGATGTTATAAAGTCTTTATCTTGTAGCGTGCTGTTTGACTGCAAATCTTTCACCTAAAAAAAAATAAAATGAAATATTATTATTGCATGCAACTAAAACATTATTTACTAGGAAATCAAGGGTGTTATAATGGTAGTGCACTGCCTCTACCCTCTGGGTCTAGGGTTTGTCTCCTGTGATGAGAGTTGTCTCCCTTGAATCGCGAGAGTTTAACTCTATAGGTTCTTCGGTTTTCCTCCCTCCATAAAACGTAACACGCTAAGCCCCAAGTCGATCTGTGAATCAGTCGTGACCTGACTTTGATCAGTCGATAGTTGGTTTCTGGATTCGATCTGTTAGTTAGCCATGCCCTGACGTAGATCTGCCCAGAGGGGGTTCCGGGGTCGAAAAAATATTAATAGAGAGTTTTAGATTTACGTTCACGGCAAACGTGAAACGTCAGTTGACCAGTAAAAAATTCTTTTAAATTACTGAAAAAGAATCGCAAAAAAAGTCCAAGTAGTAGAAAAACAAAAGAGAATTTGCGCTTGGTGAGAARGTTAGTAAAAGGTAAACTAAAATACACGAAAACTATGAAAACGTGGTCACGTTTGCCGTTTGCGGGGAGAAAAAAAAGTCAATCTAAAACTCTCTATTATTTTTAATTTACATGTTCTGAATAATATAGGTATTWAAAAAATGAATGCGAGATGGTAGAGCATTCGATTAGTATACGAAGTGTMRTGGGTTCGATTCCCATCTGGGACTCGATTGGGATTGTTTCTAAGTTTACTATCATGTGTCTTCAATTTGCAATACATGTTCTGAATTATTTATTCTTCCTACAACACAATGGCATAATTACCTCTGTTAGTTGTGGAGGAGTGTTGTCTATTGTTACTCCATCTGAATATACAGTGGTCTCTCCTCTTGCATTATTTATCGCCTTCAGTTTCATGTAAATAGTCACGCCTGAGCTGAGTGGTAGGTTAATTTGTCGTGCAACCCTCTGTGTGCTCTCTGGTATTTCAGTCTCTGGGATGACATCGCATGATCCTTTGGATGTACCCGCGCAGAAGATGTACTTCTCTATTCCTGACTCTGTATCTGTAAACGGATCCCAGTTGGCTGAAATGAAGGAGTCATCAGCTTGATAATTTATGTCTTCCTCGCCAAATCCATCTCGTATCTTTCCTCCCGCAGGCGGTGTGCTGTCAATCTTGACGCCATTTGTGGAACSAGTTGCTTTGTAGCCAGCTTCGTTAGTAGCACGAACGGTGATGTAGTATGTATTCATGTGAGCAAGTCTGAGTCCTGTTATCTCCCCTTTGAGCGTCATTCCCACATCTTGGTAGGGATTGATATCACATGTCAACGGCTTGCTGCCCGCGCATATCTCGTAGCTTGCTATTCTTGAGTTGTAGCCAATAAAATGTTCCCAGTTTGCTGCGAGGGTGTTGACTGAGCTCTGTATTGAAATGTCTTTGCCATACGAAATGCCATCGAGCACGGATCTTGGTACTGGATGCTTGTTCTCAAGAACAAAGGCATTGGATTTTGCCTCACTTCGCAGTYCAACTTTGTTATAAGCCCGCACCACAAGAACGTATGCAACACCAGGCTTCAATTCCAGTTGATCGGTTTTCATCTGTGAAGACAATCCTGTATTGATAAATGGAGTTAAACATTCTTTGCCGTCCATTTTTGAGCACACTGCCCATTCAAAATGGTGTAAGCCACTTTCCTGGTCATCGAATCCACCCCAATCAGCTTCAATAGCCTCGTCCTTTTGAAGATACTTGGTACCAGGTACGTTTCCAACGATTACACTCCCTACACTTGGAGGAGAAGAGTCCATAAGAAGAGCATCTGTTTTCGCATTCACACTTAATCCAGCTCCGTTAGTAGCTTGTAAAGTAATATATAGTACCGTCCCAGCAGCCAACGGCTTTTCAAAATGTTGTACAAARRAGTTTRTTTCCACRTCTAGATTGGTCCAGTCGATGATGTCACATTCATTGATCGTTCTTCCAACACAGTACATCAAGCTGGAAATACCACTCTCAGTATCCGTCACTTTGTCCCAAGTAACTTTAAGTACTCTTCCACTGCTCTGAGCWGTGACGTTTCCAAGCTTYACCAAAGAGATGTCATCAGACGGGCTCGATAAGGTGACTCCACTAATGATTGGTGCACTTRTATCAATGGTAACACCATCAGATGAAGAGGTTTGTATCAGTCCTGCTGCATTTATGGCCTGTACGGTAAAGTAGTACCGCTCTCCCTCCCTTAGGTTGGACCATATTGCGCCAAAGGTAGAAAGCCCGGATGATGAAAARCTTTTCAAGTTGCAAGTGCCTGGCAAAAGAAACAAACAAAATCAACGATCAGAAATGTTTACAGTTTTGTCAATCTTTTTTTTAGACGAAAAATCATACGTAATTGTGCCTGTCTTTGTACGTGGCAATGGCGATGGTAATGATTCGATATTAATGCATGAGCCAGGCCACAAAATTGGCCCCTCGGTTCCACTACGTGGAGCAAAGGCCAAWACCTATCATGAAGTAGGTAAATATCTCTAATTCACATGTTTGGGTGATCAATTGAGAAACACAACTTACCTTTTTGTAAACCAATACACCATTGGTATTCYACAATATCACTTTCACCATCTTCAAATCCATACCAATAAGCTGCCAACWCTTGGTTATTYGTTTGGTAGTCCAGATCTTTATTTTCACTGGTCCTGTTACCATCCACTACCACRCCAACAGAWGGAGGGGTCGTGTCCACYACCACTTGTTGAGWGATCAGTGACGATTCAAGTCCMAGCATGTTAACGCCTGTTATYGCCACAAAGTACGACAARCCATTTGTTGCTGTAAAATTGAATTCGTCTAAATCCACTGATCTTTCAAGAGCTGCGATTTTCCTGAAATCCAGAAGATCGTCTTGGAAAGGRAAAGAACCGATTCCAATTCTAAAGTGACTCAGGCCACTTTCATTGTCTTTCATCTCCCAAGTAACAGTAGGAGCAGACAGTGAAGTCATGTACTGGGTATCTTTACCAATGGAGGGACAAACATTTATAGATCCACCCGCAGGACTGGTACGATCAACGAGAACACCATCCGAAGTTGMGTGCACWGTTTCACCTCGGCTATTTATAGCYTTCACGGTAGCGTAATACGTCGTGCCGTGTGTAAGTGTTAGATTGTAGAAACGATGTGCATAGTTCCTTAACAGGGGYACTTTCATGTAAGGCCATTTACATACACTACTGTCTGAKTGACTTGGTTGGTGATCCCCGATACACCATTCATATGAAGACACTCCATAAACAGGATCATCAAATCCACTCCAGTAAGCCCATAATGCTCTATCGTCAAGCTGGAAGTCCAGGTCTTGCTTTGAGTTTCTTGGACCATCGTTAACCACACCAGCCGAGAATTTACCCAGGACTACTTTCATTCCTGGTGAGCAATCCGTTGTTTGTAGGCCTGCGCCGTTGGTTGCTCTGATGCACACGTAGTAYGTAGTATTGCCAACCAAAGTTACGTTCTTAATCTGCACGCCGCCAACAGATTCGTCGAGCAGAATGTTTKTATATTTAYTGTCATCCAGATTTAGAAGCGATTGTAAGTTATTTCCTGTAGCCCAGCTGTATCGAGAAACTCCACTTTCTTTATCTACGAATCCTGTCCAAGACACCGTAAATGATGACCCGGGAACAATGTTCTTATTTCTGTCATAGTTCAAAGGTAAAACGTATTGTGCAGTCACAACACCAGCTTCGGGCCTAGTACGATCAATCACAACTCCATTTGACACCGTTCTGCTTGCTAAACCTGCGAGGTTGGTTGCGACAAGAGTCAAAAAGTAGGTTCTTCCAAGTTGTAGTCGTATTTGTGAACCAGAAACTGTGAGGCTGTTGATGGCTTTGTCCATAAACGTTAGGTTCAAAATATCAGTTTTCTCCGGACTGCTACCCAGGCCCCATTGSACCTTATCAACACCACTTTCCTCGTCCTTYACATTCCAGCTCGCTGATAACTCATCATTTATTGGTTTGAAWCTGAGYCTGAGRTCCTTGAATACGGGAGGAGAAGTATCAACAAGTACACCATTGGTCCAGTAAAGGGAGCTAAGTTTAACAGCATTGGTCAGTTCTATCCCAACTCTGTAGGTCTTACCCTCTAGATATCGTGGATTCCATCTGCCATTRCCGGTAATAATAGTAGTACCACTTGAATTAAGCTTTTGTTTCAATGAATGGAAAGGCAGAATAACCGCTTGTGAATTTACTTCCTGAACAGAAAACTGAATCTTGATCAATGGTGACTCGCTATCAGAGCAGTTCCAAGATACTGTTAGTCTGTTTGTTTTTCCAATGAAGCGTAAATCTGCGTTKGGTGGTTTATCTCCATCCCAAACGTTTTCACACAGAGGCGGGGTGTCATCTACTTTAAATCCATCAGATGTTATAGMCGCTGTTAGACCAGCACCGTTGAAGGCTGTAACAGTTACAAAATATTTTTTTCCWACAGCAAGAGGAGAGTCCAGGTTTACTGTCGTCGACGTCACGGMACCCGAAAACTCAAATGGACCTTGTCTGCTTGAATTATCGGCAAGATGTACGAAAACTTGATATTTTCTGATTCCACTTTCGACATCGTAGAATTTCCACTTCAGTTCTACTCTGTTCGTAGAATTGTGATAGTCTCCATCGTCGATGAACTGAGCTAGGGGAGGTGAATTATCGTATGCTACCCCATTTGAAGTAGATATAGARGTAAGCCCGATTCTATTTGTGCATCTGACCATTGCAAAGTATTTAATTCCTGGTCGAAGATTTGTCGAGAAGACATACTTTCTCTGGTTGTTTGGAACTCTTGTGAAGTTTTTCACGTTGGTTACTCCAGGTTGCAGTCCGAAGGCCACTTCAACAGATTGCAGGCGTGTTTCTTGATCGTCGCAAATCCAAGAACACGATAAAGTTTGCTGGTTTGTATATGAAGCATCTTTTCCTGTAATACCACCATCAGTTACTGGTCTGATGAATTCTGGTGGGGTAAAATCAACTAAAACACCATTTGAAGATACTTTAGYGCTTGGTATTCCGAGGTTATTGACAGCTACTACCGTTGCGTAGTACCGCTGACCACTTCGTAGTTCAGACACCTTCATCCTTGTACTAGCAGCTCTCTCTACGAGTTCCACGTCGGTAAACTCTTGRATRTCTACTTTTCCAGGTGCCGTRCCAAAMGCCAGCTTRTAYCCSACAATCTGTGTTTCTTGTTCAGTAAAGTTTGACCACGAGGCCCACAAGATCGAGCCTTCAACTTGCACATCAATRTCTWGACCTGACTTTCCATCCACTACAGTACCAGYGCGTGGRGSAGTGCTGTCGATTATAACGCCATCAGAAGAGAAAAGCGCTTCGTTTTGAGCGTTGTCGACGACTTTTATACACGCAAAATATTTTGATCCTGATCTAAGACTTAGTCCAGATAAAATGTGAGAGTTTGCTTTGTTTGGTACCARCTCTAATGGGATGACATCGCATGCGCTGGAACTGTAAGTGCTTTTCAGTCCAAGATATATGGAATGTATTCCAGAAAAATCAMTAACGCCATGCCAGTGCGCACGGTAAATAGAAGCATAGCTTTGATACTTGGCATCCATCATTCCCCATCCATCCATAACAAAAGCGATTCTYGGAGCTTCTGAATCTGAGAGAAGTGCATCTGAAGAGCCAATCCCCGTCAATCCTGCGCTGTTGAATGCCTGCACGGTAACGTAGTACTTTCTGTTGTTTTCAAGCTTGATAGRTCCTTCAGCAGTCCAATTGACCGCTATTGAATACTTTGGCTGTGGTAAGACAATAGTATTAGAACTGGCAACGTCATCTGCTCCGCTATAACTTCCAATAGAAACTTTGTACGATACAATCTTAGTGAGATCATCTTCGATTTCAAAGTAGCTTTTAAACGTTAAGTCCTTCTCTCTTGTGTACTTTATCAYATTTCCACGATGTCCATGTTGGATAATCAAAACTTCGGGAGGAGAACTRTCTACGATGAAAGTATTTGARTATCCATTAGAGTTCATTCCAGCTYTGTCGGTTGCCTGGACCACGGCTGAATATATTCCATCTTCTAATTCAATAGATCTCCCACTCATGCGCACTCGCCCAACTTTCTTCACTTCAGCTAGTAATTGTTCATTTACCAAGGAAGTGACTGATAAGCCAAAACTATCGATACCAGAATGTACGTCATAGAAACTTTCGTTACTACACTTYCTTTTGTCTATGAACGTAGAGGTCCTTACTTCGTCTGCTGGGCACCAATTCCATCGCGCCCATACTGATTTAGTGTTCCATTGAAAGAAAACAGGTGGTCCTTGATAGCCAGTAATGACGTTACCAGTATGGGGAGGAACGTAATCAACAATAGCACCATTACTGCTGSCATTCACGCACATCTGTACTCCATTACATCCTACAACTGTGGCAAAATATTTACGTCCACTTTCAAGCAGCAGTCCTGTAAGCGTTGCATTGTTTCTTTTCCCAACAGATATTAAGTTCTTAGTATCTGTGAGTCCKGGTTTTGTRCCCAACCCRACGYGATACTCAGACAAACCACTTTCTGCGTCAATGAAAGCTTGCTCCCAATGAACACTRAACGTGAAACGTTCCTTTGTGTAGTTTTGATCTTTGCCTTCCAAGCCGTCTTTGATGAATTGAGGTGCAACAGCGGGTGGTGTTGTATCAATCAAAATACCATCAGATGAAACTGTYCTACGAATTCCAGCCCCATTGAGTACTTTTACTGTCACGTGATATCTYACTCTTGGCTCAATGTCAAAGCCATCCAGCTGCACAAAAGTGTTCCCATCTTCAAGAACTGTAGCGTCGTACTTCTCTGCTGTATCAAAAGATTTGATATCATCGCCTCCTGGGTAAGTTCCCACAGCAAGGAACTGCTTCTTGATTCCACTCTCAGRATCTGAACATTTCCACTTTGCCTGTATGCTCTTGAGCTCTCGAACAAAGTCAACATCCTGGTCATCGCTTTCAGAGAGTACATCAGAAGGTACGTTACAAACAGGTCCAGTGTTGTCCGGTACGAAACCATTGGATTCAACAGAAGTCTGTAAACCAGCTGCATTCGTACCTCGCAGAACAATCTTGTATTTCTGCCCTGGGCTTAGATTCAGTCCCTCCATAAGAGGCGTTCTTTGCGGGAGTGGTATGCTCACAAACGGAGTAATATCAAGAGAGTTTTCATACMACACTATTTTCCACTCATACTTAGCTAAAGGGCTCTCGTTGTCTACGAATGCTTGATACTTGGCTCGAACTCGTTTCGTTGACGGAAGAAAATCAGCATCTTGTTCTCCAGACCCATCATACAAGTAACCTGYCACAGGAGGTGTTRTATCTATCACRATGCCATCACTGCACATGACCGCTCTTAATCCAATCGAGTTGGTAGCAACAACCCTTGTATAGTATTTCTGCCCATGTTTCAGACTCAAACCCGATGTTTGAATGGTGTTGGTCTCACCAACMGGCATCAATCCGTAGACGTCCACTTCCTTTTCATCAAGAGTACACTTTGAAGAAGTTGAAATACCCCATTTTACATCCAGTATACTTTGAGCACCTTTAGCCCAAGCAAAATTCATTCCTAGTTCATAATCATCTGACTGATAATCCTTSTCTTGGCCTAATTCAGAACCATCATTTACATAGCGTATTTGCGGTCCTCTTCGTTTTGCTCTGAAGAAAGGACATAAGGCCAGTCTGCTGTCCATCCCCATGTCGTTAGTGGCTCTCACACTAACATAGACGTCCCTTCCGTGCATGATTGGCAGATTTCTAACGATGGTGCTCAACGATGTTCCAACATTTGCACCATAGTCGTCACCAGAGCCCACAATGGATCCTATCTTTACCCAGTAATGGTTGATTGATGTGTCCTCTTTGAATCCATGCCATTGTACGAAATACATTTTCTCCCCAACTTGTCTCGCACTGCATGTTCCTGCTATTGGTGGAGTTCTATCTACGTCTTCCTTGCAGGTCGAAAACAAAGTGCGCTCAATTTGTCTCGCGGACCACCACCATTCGGCGAATGTCTTTTTGCTACACCACCTTATTTTAATACTACATTTGAAACACTTGCATCGGATTCTAATGCAAAGACGGAATCGATACCACAACCACACGCGTATCTTCAATGGTGTCATTCTCATCTTCAGCTCAATGCATGCTTTTAAKGGCCACTTGTCAATCTTGACTGTCAACTCAGGAAGAAGGTATGTTTCCAATAGTATAGCTTCGATGGTGATACCACCTTCAACTATCCAAATGCTTACACTTGCTCCGACGTGCACAGCAATCCAAGCACCAGGAATCAAACCCACCTTGAAAGTTCGGTCCCTCATGCATAACTGAGCTTGGTAGTCAACAAACCAATAGCCACCGGCGCCTGCGAAAAGTGTAACGGGAATGCCAAACACGATGATGACCTGCTTCCAATCCGGCATGAATTCCTGATATCCTCTTCTGACATTACCCCTCATCAATGTCAAACAAGCTGGCATTTCACCTGTRGCTCTCTTGTTACGTGTRTGAACTTCTTCAAGCTCCTGTGAGTAAACATCTGACTCAAGAAGCTCATTTTCTATACTTCGCTTTCTTAAAGCCCCRCATCGTAAGTCACCAAAAGGAATTAGCCTTCGTGGTGTTATAATCCAGTCCTTCATGACTTTGAAGTATAAGCAGTTTTCAGTGATTCCGAAAGTCATTTTTAAGATTGGGAGCTTCATTCTGAAGTACCTGTCCTCAATGTCTCCTCCGATATTTTCAATGTTACTTCTGTCGCTGTAAGTTGCGCTGGAAAACACGATGGCGATCAGATCATTCCTGACCTTTTCAACAGATTCTAATCCTGATGGAGTACGGACAACTCTTGATAAAGTGTTTTCGCCAACTTCGTCGCTCCCACTTAAGTCGTGGAACTCCAATTTGCMCTGAAATCCAGGGCGCATGGCACATCTTGATACGACTACGTATTCAGTATTAAATTGACGTACTATTGCCATACCCTGTGCTTTTTCTCTGATGACTAATACTCGATCAGGGGCTATGTTRCYTGATAGCAGATCCCCGTCAGGCGATAATCGATAGCCGTATCCCTTCCCAGCAACACCATCAGTAACCCATAGCATTGTTTTAGCTTCATCAAATGATACAGAAGTGGCAGTGCCCTCAACTCTATAAGTTTTGGATATGCCTATCCAAGATGGACCACTAGAGGACATGCTTCCAGTAACCGATCCTTTGTTGATGCGATGAATCTTGTTTGAAGTGCCACTAGCGATCCAAATACTGTTTCGCGCCACTGARACACCACCAATTTCCTCGGTAAATGGAGATTGCGGACTTCCTAGTTGAATTATTTTTCGTACACCGCTGCCAGGAGTTGTAATAACTAAAATTGAAGCCTTGCCCTTGTTCGCGGAGACCCCGTACATCCCGAGTATTATTGATGACTGCGATAGTTGCGTGATGCCTTCAACTTTGTAATCGCCAAACAAACCAGGAATCAGCCATCTTCCGGTATCTTTCATTGACGAAAGGTCATCGAGGTGGGGAAATTTCCATGTGAAGATTGTGCTGTAGTAAAGGGATGAAGATCTCCTCAGAGATCGCACACAAACGTCGGCAGAACAATAGGGATACGCGCTCCATTCTTTAAATTGTGAAAGATCAAGACCTCTCTGGCGAAGCTGTATTTTGTTTTGGAACTCGGTTACTTTGTCGAAAAATCTATTTACCTTGTCCGTCACTTCTTTTACTTTACCAATATATTTGTCCATATGTGGTTTGATCACATCACTCAGTTCTCCAGTATCCATAAGTAGTTTCACCACTGGGTTAGAAAATTTGGTCGTGACTCCCTGCATTATYTTAGCGTAGTCTGATGCTTCTTTGATTATGTTGTCCAGAGCTTGAATGATGGTGTTAATRTCTTTAGTTTTCTTCCATAAATCATAAGAAGTTTGAAGCTTGTTTCGCACATCCTGGATCTTCTGCACGTGCTCCACTACAGCATCGTTATAGACAGCTTTCATGGCCTTAAAAGTATTCTGTAAGATGCCTTCTAACTTTTCTTTTGTTTCCTTTGCCTTTCTTATATAGTCTAGTACTCGCTTTACTTTCTCCTTAGCTCCTTTAATACTTCTTCTGGCCCTGCCTCCTTGTGAATCCTCAGTGACATCTCTTCCAGTTACCCGACGCAGTACATCTTTAAYTTTCTGTACATCGTCTCTCAAATCAAAGTCTTTCACTTGCTGTATGAGAAGTTTGACTGTATCGATAATCTTTGTGATGTTCTCAACACCAGCTTTACAAGTCTCAAGCATGTCAGTGTATCCACTGGCTTCTTTAAACGTGTCCTTTAAGACATCGACCTTTTCTTTAATTCCTTTTGCTTGATCGATAAAAGCTTTTGATATACAGGCTCCCCCTTTGATGCACTTTTGTATCTTGAAGTTTCTCCACGTTTCTGATATCATGTCTTTTAGGATTTCAATTTCTTTGCGCAATTCTTTGTACTGATCGATGACATACTTTCCAACGATCATRGCTTTTCGCACACATGGTTTTGTGCTTTCCTTGAATATAGTAACAGTTTGCTGGCAGTCTGGTAGCTTATTAATTGTTGAAAGTATTGGAGAAAAGTTTGATGTGAAGGGCTTCAGATTGATCAGGACGTCCATGATTTGGCTAACCATGGATGATATCTCTTTCAATTCGCCTTGGATCTCATGAATAKGTTCCTTGATCCTTCTAAACTTCGTTACTGCTTTATTGATTAGTTTATCAGCTTCGACTGTGAAGAATTTGTTCACCTCTGCAGTAACATCATAACTTCCAATTTTATTAAGTGTTTGACTTGCCATGGCCTTGAACTTGTTGCAAAGATCACGGACTTTTGTGTCATAATCGATGCCAAATTCTTTCCTAATGTCTAGCTTTAAAATTTCATCCTTGAAGCTTTGAGCTCGATCAGCAAACTGTATGATATCATCTGCGGTCTCGCGTGCTTTATTGGCATACAACGGAAGGTTACGCATGTGAGYCAAAACATTATTCACTTTGATGGCGATTTCTCGAACTTTGCCTAAAAATCCTTTGTTGGTGTTTAACATTGACATAAAATCTGCTAGTAATTGGGCTATCTTGGATATTTTACCTACACGTACAGCCATGTTTTCGTTGTACCASTCTTCGACTTTAGTAACTGTTGTCTTCAAGTCTTCTCCAATAGTTCTGATGCCTTTTGCAASAGGGCCAACAAACTTGGTCAACTCTGCCAATGCGTCGCGTGAAGCATTTTGAACTTCATCGATAATACCAGCAGAGAAGTCCGCACCCTTCATACATACTCCAGTCACTTTAGAAGATGTTCCATTCGCAAATTCCACAACCTGGTCGGCTAACAACTGGATATCCTTTAAGCTCTTTGATAATTTTTGAAGAGATTTTGAAACAAATCCACGAGATGCAACTGTAAAGTTTTTCTCAAGTTCGTCAATYAAGCCGTCAACCATAATTGTGTAGTTCATTAGTTCCTGTAGTGCTCCTTGAGTAGTTTCGTCAACTTTCTTGAGAATCACTATTCCTTTTTTCTCTAAATTTTCTCCAAAGTCTTTGAAATCTTTTGAWGAATTTAAAGCAAATTTGTATACTTTGCAAATCTTTTTGGTACTTTTCTCAGCAAAATCTTTCATGACCGGACCAAGTTCTTGAAAGAAGTCTGTAACGTCACTGATGGCAGTTATATTTGGCATGGATGAATTTAGGAAGTTCAAGATTTGATYCACAAAGTCTTCTAAAATATCATCAGGCCCCTTGCCAACAGCTGTAGTGTTAGAGTTTCCACCAAAGAGTTCTTGAATAGACTTAATTAGATCCATATCCTTTCCAGGCATTATGTCTTCAAAAAACTTTTCCAAGTCGAACGATGGAAGTTTGAATTGTTTGAAGAAATCACTGAGTTTGCCAAGGATGTTAATTAGCTTTAAGAACCCTGGTTCCTTTAGGTTTAGTTTGAAATTCAAGTTGATTTTCCAGTCAAAGCTTAGACCAAAGTTAAAGGACTTGAAAGGTATGGCAGGAAACTTTCCTTCRAGTCTTGGAAGATTCAGTCGTGGTAAAGCTAGGTTTTTCAGCACATCAAAGATAGATGATATGTCCAAGAAATTGTTAGCAAAATTCACAAGTCGCATACAAATAGCYGTAAATTTTTCCATGGAAAGAGAGAAATGTAGAGTAAATCTGAATGGCAACTGCAGCTTGAACCCTCCAGGTACAGAGAATCCAAGAGATTTAAAGAACTCCTTGATCTTGATGTCTTGCAGATCTAAAGACGCTGTCTTTAGCCACTTTAGAAGGTCTTCTATTTTGAAATTTGAAGGCAGGTTATGAGGAAGTCTGATAGTAATGCGGTTCACGATATCTAGGATTCGGTCCAAAACACCAATCACTTGTCTAAATAAATCATCCACTAGAGTCAGTTTKTTTAAGGTAATCTGTATCTTCTGCACATTATCTAGCATCCATTTCCAGTTTTTCAGCCGTTCAACAACCTTTTTCACAAAAGTGAGTATCTTCTTCATCAGATTAATTGGCTTTAAAGGCTTGAACAGATTTTGGACAAACTTGACTATTTTGCTTACGAAGTCAACAAGCTTTTGAATGTTAAGTGGGATGTTTGTCTTGAGTTTGTTCTTGAATTTTGAAATCTGCTCAAAAATKATACTGGTGATGTCATCGATCTTTGAGAGAATATCGTCACCTGCATCAGCGATGGCATGAATAAGATCTTTAGGAATGTCATTCTTGAAACTCGCAGAAGCTTTGAAAGCAGCTTTACCYTTCACAATATCAAAGCCCCATTTCAAAATTTGAGCCTCTATCTTTGCGTAATTGTCAAGGTTTACCTCGAAATTCCCTCCAAATATTCCAATTCTGAGTTTTACTTGGTTGCGAAATTGGATCTGAGATTCTGCTCCAAGGTATTTTCCTCCAAAGTTCTTTGTCCATCTTTTATCTGGACCCAGTTGGATCTCACGTGGGCGAAGAGCAGGAATCAAAGCACGCTTTTGTCGCCGTAAGATGCTTCTTCGTTTTCTGATATGTTTAGTTTTCGGGTGATTGTGGTGGTTTTCTAGGAATTCCTGAACGGATGCGTCGAGCGCATCACCATCTTCAGCGTGCCATATTGCATGCTCGAGTGCCTGGACGGTTTCATCTGTCAGGTCCTCGTGTCGTTCAATAAAAACATCCATGACTGCTGCTTTGACATCGTTGTGTTCATCATTGTATAATGTGTCCAACAAGAACCTGTTTGTACTTTCTGCAGGTAGCTTACGCATTGACGAGACAACCGCTGACCTCACACCTGAGCTGTCGTGGTCTGCATGTTTAAGCATGACTTGTAGACCAGATGAATGACCGAGGTTACCAAATGCCCATATATGGTCTCTAACGTAGGACTCATGTTCCACGCTGTCAGGGTCATGAACATTGGACTTATTGTGATAGCTGTCATGAATGAGCGCTGCCACCACATCTGATAGAGTCGAATTATAACCAGCTGTTTGTGCACGTTTGGTAAGTCCAGCTAATACCAGCATTGCCATGGACGATTTATGACCATGATTAGAATCTCTTGCTGCCTGTGTGAATAGAGCATTAAACAGTTCACTATGTATTGGTCCATTTGGTATGTAAAAGATTCCTTCTAGCAGAGTCTCGTATTCATCAAGAGTCAATCTGCGTGGATACTCTGACATKAGGGCCTGTGCTAGAACACTCTGTGCTCGATGTCCACCACGCCCGGCCACCACATTGACAAGCACCGTCCAGGAAGTCACGTTTTGAAGATTTCGCTGTAGAACCAAATTGCAGATGTTGTTGAACGCTGCTTTATCGTGTYTTGCCAGTTTATGCATCTCTCTCGAACACTCCGCTATTTCTCTGTTCTTCACAGTTGGGTCAGTAAAGCAYCGCATGAGTTCATAAAAGGGTCTGAACTTTACTTTATCACCACCAACTTTCTTCCAGTCRATCTTATGGGAGTCTCTGAAAACAAGATTTTCTTGATGAAGTCCCTGTATGTCTTTTTYCAGGTTGTCTGGTGTTTGAGCGCTGCGTCTGGAACGGTGGTGTCCTTCMTTACTGCGAACATCGTCACAACGAAYCAGTTTGAGTTTGTTGTAACCAGTCGTAGAAACCTGAATATCTTGGTCTTGTTCTTGGTACTCTTTTTTATTTTCAGCTCTTGGGTGTCCTTTTTGTGATTCAAATATCCCGAGGTGCTGTCGATCTACCTTGTGGATCTTCCCATTTTTTATGTGCACTGTACTTAAATACTTTTGTTTTGCCTTGTGCTCGCCACCAACAGGAGTACCGTCTGCAAACTCGAAGTAATCATTATTGGTCCATTCTCTTCTTACAGTTGTATGAGAATCGTTGGTAAGAAGGGTAGTATACCTTGTGTTGTAGACACCAGAGTCGTCATGCTCTTCAATCGGTGCCAAGCTTTCATATCCTACAGACTTGAGGTGGACTTGAAAAGCTCCAGCAATACCTGTTTGGTTTTGATAATAGGAAACAAAAAGTATGGTCACACTTGACAAATAAATAATATGTCCAAAGGAAAAAGACATAAGCTGCATAACCTTTTGACCTTGGTAGCAATGAAATTTACAAGAGGATCCTAAATTACAAATATGATCCATGAGCTACTTTTCTACCTACTTTTCTTTTTTTTTTCTTTTCTTTTMTTTGATTTAATCCAGAGATTGTATATGGGTTGATGATATTTGTTTTGGTAATTATTATTGTCTCTTTCTTGATCAGCAACATCCAGCACACGCAACCCAATCTTTTACTGAACCGTGCTTTGAGATTAGAGGGGTATTTTAGGGTTTATTTAGCCCGTACCCAACTAAAACTTACTGTGTTCTGTGTTTTGAAGGCATTGATCTTATATAATTGATTTAATTGTATATTAGCTTTTCTTACCTTTCTTGAGAGCTATAACTCTTGGTTCGTCGCTTCTTGGAAACAAAGCATCAACTACTGTTCCATGATCGTGTTGACGAAAGTAGAAAGGATTGGACAACTTTTTTTCAAGTTCCTCGTTGACAGGATGCCTGACCACGACATGACTACCACGTAGTCTTCTAATACGAGGTTGGTAAACCTTGAGTTGGTTGATGTGAAGTGAACTGTCGTTGCCTTGTCTTGCAACAGCAATGACATCAATCTGAAGGAAGTAAGGAGAAGGATTTTATGTTAAAAATGATTTTGGATTCTTTTTACGGCATGTCAAATCAGTGACTTGGTACATTTTCTATCTGTCTGAGTAAGACGGAAGTTTCAGAAAGTTAATTGTTTTAGAAATGCTCCCGCGCGCTTTGTATTGTTTGCGCGTGCGACGTTGTGGAAACGCATAAGCTTTAACTGAATGCCTCACTGCAGTCAGTCCATATGTGTCCGTCCATATCTGTCTGTCTGTCTGTCTGTTTTTCTGTCTATCTGTCTGTCTTTATCTCAGCATAGCAAACATATAAAGGTGAATGTATAAGAGAAATAATTTGCAAAAATACCATTGTAGTATGATTAACTCTTATCATGCTTTTTTTTTAAATTTGACGACGGTATCTTTTTTTGCACGTGAATGTTCATGAAATATAAGAAAGGTTTTTAAAAAAAATATATTATATTTAAAAACTTTTAAAGCAGTATGCTGGGCACCGTTTAAAAAAACTCAAATACACGTAGAAACAAGTTTATTAGATAGACTAGAATGCAAAGACTAATAAACCACTTGCATTGAATTCCTAAAGGAGTTGTTCTGGGGGACAAAACCGTAGGCCGTCTTTCCTTATGCAAAAAAAATATTGTTTTGACCCCAAGAACAATTCGTCTAGGGACTTGTTTCCCCCTCCACCTTTTTCTTCCAAACATGGAAACAGTCAAACATCTAAATAAATAAGCAMTGATTTGTGAGGTTTGAATTTATTATAATTCCTAACCAAAAATACTACTTAGGTCCTAAGTTGAGACCATCTTTTTCGACACTCTGAATGTTATAAGATCTTGTACTTAGTTTGGTGTCATACAGAATAAGCAGAATTGGTCGTTAAGTTATTTTGTTATAATGACCAAAGTTGTAAAATTCTTATGATATTTGGTTGTCAGGTCGGTATGTGCTGTAATATGTCGGTACTCAGCGGACTTCAGTTCTCATTGCCTTCATTATTTGATCATATCAAAGCTAAAATAGATTTCTTTCAATTGTCGTCAAGAGCAAGCGAGAACAGGGATCGGGAGACTGCTCAGTGCGATAAATACTTGAATTCTACGTGATTCTACATGTACATGAAGTGAATAGTTGAATGGTGAAATATTTCTTTATTTGAGTGTTACATCAATTTAGAAGTTGGTCCACACTTGAAAAAATGTATATATATATATATATATATTTCTGATATGGTTTTGGGCATCTGTTATAACATGTTCTTAAATGACTTTCCCAAGTTAAATACTTATAATATCATTTACGCTTCAAAGGATTAATATAAGCTTATAAGCTTACATATAGCTTATATATTATGATATCATTTACGCTTCAAAAGATTAACATTGACTGTTATTAACGGCAATTATGTGGGTAATGAGCAAGAACAAGTTCCTGTTTTTGTGAAGATCTTAGCTATTTTTGGCATCAAAAATACCATTAGAGGATAGAGAAATGGATCAAAATATTYAAAAATGGAGTGGTCACATTATAAAGTGTAAAGTCTGGATACTGATGCGAATTCTTTTAAATCGGTTTTTGTTAAAGTGGTCATTCTAAATGGTCGTAATTGACAGTCCAAAATTTCAAGTGGTCGTATTAGCGGGAACAATCTTGATGATACTAAACGGTTAGTTCCAATTAAAACTCAGTCTAAAGCGCTATTCCGGCACAATGCAAATGRTCGATTTATGATCGGACTAAGAGGTCTCCAATATGTTACCTACCGCATGTTGTTTTTAATAAAAACACACTGAGGTCTTTTAGACAGGCCGATTTTCAAGGGTTTTCAGACTGATTTTGACCTTCATATAAATACATAAATTTATTATTTCTAGCTTATAATAAGCTTTTAGCTGTGATGATGGACAAAACTATAMAAGATATAGAAATATAGATAAGTTATAGTGCTTGGGAACGAGGTTATTCCGGTCGAAAGCCCTTGGAATTAAATTCGGAAAAATTAATTTCCGACCTCGCTGGGAATCGAACCTATAAAACTATAAAAGTATCCGTTTAAAAATTCCAGATCATCCAGCATAGTCAAACCTAAATTTATGAAGTTTGGAAGTGAAAATCTGGATTGGCAAGCTGGAGTCCGGACTCCAGAACATGGGGCAGTCTGAAAACTAGGCGACACGATTTAAACAAGAAATCGATCAGTAAACATGATAACATTTGAAAGCTAAATCCTTACGCTAATGCATTCGCCATGTATGYATACTGTTTCGACAAATATTGACAACTCAATAGTGCCTTATTGCGTTCAAGTATAAGGCAAAAGTCACGAAAAGAAAAAAACATTGCTTGGTACCTTTTTATTCGTGACTGTTAACTTTTTTCGTTGTTTTTGACTTTTAAAAGACTAGACTCTCGATGACTGGAGCTCCAATAAAACATTCTTTATGTAAAGAAAAAAAATTATTTCGACAAAAAACAAAAAAGCAAAAAAGAAATGCATTGACTAAAATAGGAAAAACATGTTTGTTTAGCCTGGTTTTGGCTTCTACAAGACTCTCGTTATAATTTCTCGACGATTCGAGCTGCAATTTGCTATACAAAGTAAATTAAAGTATTCTATATTCAGTATATATTGGCTACAAACAAGTAAAACAAGTTTTCAGTAAAAGGACTAAAGTATCCGCAGCTTGATTGTAATGAGAGTTAAAGGTGTTTACCGTGGATGGAAAGGCATTAAAGGAGAGTTGTCAATGCAAAAGCAAAAAATAGCTTCGAAAACTATTTTTTTTTAAATGTTCAAAACCAGGGGGGAAAAGTATAGCATTCAGTAGCGAAGCTTAATGGGGTAGAAATATATGCTGAGTAATGTGAAAAATAATAAAAAGACTATTTTCTTAACCGAGCTCACGATAACCTAAATAAACTGCGTTTGCCCTATTTTGAGCATTTGAGTAACTAAGCAATAATGGTATGTTTTTCAGATGTTTATTTTACTTTGGGAACTTCTCGTTCTGTACGTCAAAGTCCCGCTCTCTCATTGCTGTTAGTAATGGCAAAAGCTTTTTCGGTTGTCATACTTTCCGGTGTAATTTAACTTTGTTTACGGTTTTTTCTTTTCCTTTTTGCATCTCTCTTAGTTTTTTTTATTTTTTATTTCATCACAGTTTTACTAGGCACTTGCAGGGCAACGCGCAAAATTTTGACCAAATGTATTCGCATACTTCTATGCACGGGCTTTTTTGCTGTCAAACGAGCGTTTACGCCTTATTTAGTGATTAAACCAGCCAGCCTCGCATCGCAATGTTCCGGTTTAACGTGGTCAACACTCCAATGAATAATGTCGTCATCCAACATTATACTGCAATTTTCATAAACATGCGAATTCTGTGTCAACGAGTTGCAGGCTGAAATTTGGTTTTTCGCTGCCGTCAATCAAACCTAATCAGTCGGTGTCTTCCATTAATTTTGACTGGCGGCAGCGAAAAACTAAATTTCAGCCTGCAACACGGASACACAGCGTTCGCATGTAAACATTGCAGTAAGTGTGGTCGTAATTTTGCACGTTTGCGCTGTAAGAGTTTGTGGGTTGGTTGATGTAATAATGTTACGGTTTATCACGTACACTCTTCCAGATTTCGCAACCCTAAAATCATCCTTTAATTGGCATACCTTCGTTTATGGGAACACGCTGCAACAAAACCCTGCGCTTAAATACTGTAAATAATCATTTGACAGCATGAATTGCTAAATGCGTCAATCGTTGTTTTTGAAGGACTTAAAAAAATCTCCGAAAATACCGAAGYTGCAAATGCCAATCTTCAATCTTCACATCAATAAACTGATGTCTTTATCTCGTGACAAACATCCTGCAGCCCTTTGTTTTTCTTTTTTTAATACGCCGGGAGTCATCGACAATCCTTCRAGTCAATTACTTCCAAACAAACTTAAATTTTTAAGTCGTCGAGATAGATATTTAAGTTCTCCTAAGCAACATTTAAGAATATTTTAGAAATGGTTTTAGAAAAATAAATCATGCTATGATTTTCTTTTCTTTCCTTTTTTTTTTTTTTTTTTTTTTTTTTTTTTTTTTTGACAAAAAGAAAGAAGATATGACGTTGAGAGACGATCCGAACGTTCTATTGCAATTTTTAGGCAAGAGAAAGAAAGAATAATGCAACTTCAGTACTAGTTGATTGGATTTCTTGACTCGAGAGAAATATGTTTCGGTACCTTTTTGAACTATATTTTAATACATTAGTTCTAGTTTCTCTTTAATAACTTCAAACCCAATAAGTAGTATTTTATATTTACCCATATTCAGTGTTGAGTTTGCACGGCTTTATAATTAAAAGATCTCTGGTAAAAAATAGTTTTTCGTAATATTCATCATATTGTGTATCTCTAGACCCCGAGCTGACCATATGTAAGCGATAAAGAGTCTCTCTCCAGGGGGCAGGTTTTCAGTCTACGGCTATTTACAGCGGGGTAAATCTAAATCTAGGCAGATGATTGTGGAAAATCCGGAATCGGGATGGAGCTATATACGTAGCGCCTGCTGCCGACAAGCCTGCGACAAACTGTTTCTTATCCAGAGAAGGTAATAATAGGGAAAAATATGAAGGATGGTGACAAAATGCAAAACATTCGATCAGAAAATAAGGTACTGTTGTGAGAGTCGACGGTTATATTTTTGTGGCTCACACGGTAAGGAATGCGGAATTTGGAATTAATTCTTCCAGAACTACCAAAAAGGGAAAGGATATCTAATYTAAATMTAAATATAAATTTGATCTGCAATATCTCGAGTACGAATTACTTTAKCCCTGATGATGCACTAGTAGTGCGAAAGCTCGGTAAAAATTAAAATACGTGGTGGAAACAAAAATTCTATTTAGTAGTTTAAAAGAAGTTAAAAGGCATAATTTACATAAGAGTGGAACGCGGATATCTCAGACTCAGTGAAGTGAAGAAACATGCTTTAAAACATGGTTTGACTCTTTTTGGTTGTTCTTCGAACTATATTGTGAATCCTTCGTTTTTAGATCATTGCTTTTTCAGTTACATTTTATAACTAACTTCAAACAAATAGGTAGTTGCTTATCTTTCCCTATATGYAATGTCTAGTTTGCACGGCTTTTCAATTAAAAGATCTCTGGTAAAAATATKTTTTCGTAATATTCATCATATTGTGTAACTCTAGAYCTGTGAACTAACAGGTCACCATAACAGGCTTAGCATATATGGAGGGTCTCCCTAAGGGGGGCAAGTTTGCAGTCTACGGCTTTTTTTTTACAGCGGGGCGAGTCCAAGTGCTAAGCTATAGCCAGACGATTGTGGAAAACCAGGAATCCGAATAGAGTTAGATGCGTAGACGCCTGCTGCCGACAAGCCTGCGACAAACTGTTTCTTATCCTAGAGAAGSTAATAATAGGAAAAAATATRAAGGATGGTGACRAAATGCAAAACATCSGATTAGAAAATAAGAKACTGTTGTAAGAGTGGACGGTTATATTTTTGTGACTCACACGGTAAGGAATGCGGAATTTGGAATTAATTCTTCCAAAACTACCAAAAAGGGAAAGGATGTCTAATTTAAATCTAAATATAAATTTGATCTGCAATATCTCGAGTACGAATTACTTAAGCTCTGATGATGCACTAGTAGTGCAAAAACTCGGTAAAAATAAAAAGACGTGGTAGAAACAAATTATATCGATATMGTAGTTTAAAAGAAGTTAAAAGGTATAAGTTACATAAGAGTGTAATSTCAGACTCGGTGAAGTGAAGACACTAATTTGCGGCTGCATGCATGGCTAGAGTGACCACAGTAAATCCATGATAAACACTATTACTAAATAGTACAAAATAGTGCTAGTTAAACAATAGAAAACTATGGAATTTGCATGAAATTGTGCTATTTAGTATTACTAAAGTTTCACGGATTTACTGTGGTCACTCTAGTGTATGTACGGCTTCATAGGATCCTTGAYAAACTCTTTATTAAAGAATCTATTGATCGATGTAGTGCGCCAGCATTCAATGGATGATTTCCACAAACCTTTGTTCTAATAAAATTGAATGCGTGGTAACTGATGAAGACATTTAGCTAAAGACAGTGGAACATCTTGGATAAATGTTTTTTTCATTTATTTTTAACTGGCAGTAAGCAATGCAACAAGTTGAATCTCCTCCATGTTGGTTTAGGTTTTTGGCACGAACTGCACGAACGCTAGTCTCCCCCACAGCCGCTTTCAGTGTCGTCACGCAACGCTTTCTCCCCTGACTATTCAGGGGAGAAAGCGTTGCGTGACGACACTGAAAACGGCTGTGGGGGAGACTACACGAACGCATGTTGGGGCCATTTCGCAACACCAGCTTCCAAATGACGTGAGCGACTATTAAAATCACTTAATTTAATTAATCAGCACAATCTTATGTTGTTCAAGCACATGCACACCTCACTTCAATTAGCAACAACTTCGAACAAAAACTTGCAAAGCTGGTTGTAAACAAAACAACTGACAGGGTCTGACAATAGGTATGTTTTGCGTCATTCGMTGTTATTGAAAGACTTGGAAAAAATCATATCAAAATATTTGTGTGCTTTACAGCTACGAAAATATCCACATAAAATTGTCTCCAGGACAACGCTTAAGCACGAAGAATGTGTGGCATCTGAGATTGCGCAATGAATGTTAACTCCCTGACTCAAATCAAATACCTAAATCGATTTATTCTAATGCCAAAGCTTGCGAAGCTTAAATTCTATAGTTTGGTTAATACTTTCACTTTGCATCAAATATTTTTGTATAAGTTCAGAAACAYTAGAAAGTTTTTCGTGCGTAGTTGTCAATATTGAAACAGCCTTTGGCATATTTCACGCCAGAACAAGAGCTGTTTGTTTTCTTTGCGGTTCMTACGGAGAAAGGGAGCTGTCAGAACATGTTAAGATTATCAAGACCTTGGACTGACGGTTTAATGAGAACTGCAGTGGAATAGCTCTGGAATCAATATATATTATTAGATAAGCCGATATATCTCTAGAGACTTAAAAAAAAAAAATCTGTTATTGCGTTTTGTTGGCAGTTAGMGATCTTTCCTTCTTCATGCGTGAGTTTGCATGCATTTAACAAAAAAGGTTCCAAAAATTATTTCAAAGAAATGAAAGTGAAATTGTAGAAACAGGTCTTTTGGTATTTTTCAAATATCTATCTTTCTATATATATCATTCATAAATATTTATGCGTAACATATAAATTACGAAAAGAAGCCGTTTGGTTAATTGCGCGGAACAAATTGCATTCTTCTTTTTGTTATTCAGAAAACGATATCAAATACTTACTGAAGATTATATCAGAGAATTCTAAGAATCGTGTAATAAATGGTGCATGCATCGCATTAATGAATATATTTAAAACTAACTTGTCAATTTTCTTACTACCCCCTCCCCTCCCTGATACAACTTGTCACGCCACAACAATCAGTCATTAGTATTTTTTACAATACATAATATTTTCAAAAGTTTTGACATTCCATCGTAGAAATGAAATGGTGTTGTTAAAATCAAAGAAATTTGGAGCGAAGTTCGTAATATTACAGAGTTCTGGTGTAAAACGTCTGTAGGCCTGCCATACGCTTTGAGCATGTTTTGAAGTTAGAGGGATGTAAGCCCTTCTGGAAAGGATATGAGATTGGGTATTTTTGGTTTGAAGTTCTCAAATAAAACTACTTAAAGTTAAATACTCACGAGCATGTGAATTTCATGTCCTTGGCTTTCTGTAGAGTGAGAACCACGGGCTGTGTGGATTGCCACTTGGTAGGAGTAGGTACACGATCTCCCCAAGTCAAATGACAATTTTGTAGAACTGTCTCGTWGGGATGGAATCTTGTAGGTGCTTACTAGAACAACTCCTTGCAGGAGRAAAAATAAATAAAAGTTATGAAACCAAGGCATAGTGTCTTGGAATCTTAGCAGTCACTAGACTGTCCAAAAAGTGCTCGTTGCAGCTACGAGATTTTGCTAAACTGAAACGCGACCGGAAGAGGTGTCAGCATTTGCATTAATGAGCCAAGATAATAACGCCCACAGAAAGGGATGACAATTTACGTAATTCTTTCATTTGTCAAAATACTGATTGCCACATTTCTTAACAACAAACAGATCCGGAATTTCTACATTACTTTGGAAGAACTGGAAGGTGACTGAAATCTTGTCCATTAGCCGAAAAGCAAGAAATTCTTTTACTAAACGGTAAATCTATTTTGATTTTAATTCATAATTTTGATAATGCAAATCAGATCTCTGTATGCGATGCTCATTGACTTGTATTTTCATAGCGAGTTGTGGTCTCTAAAAAATGAAAACATCGTAGAAGGCTAATTTTTAATGCTAGTTTAATATTTTTGGATTTATTTTAGCTTTGTGCAGCCGAATTTCTCGTGCAACTGCACAAAATGTTAGCACAACATTGTTTAGTGTTACTGCTGCTGTTTGTTATGCTTCTTCACGATGGTGAAGCCTGGAGAAGGCGTCGTAGACGACGAAGACCACCGCCATGTCCTCCTCGTAATTGTCAAGTTGGTCCATGGTCGGCATGGTCAGCATGCTCGCACCGATGTGGTAACGCTGGGACGCAGTACAGGACAAGAGCCAAGACACGTCCTGAAGCCTGTCCGGGAGGAAAATGTCCCTTTCATTTTAGAGAAGTTGGAAACTGTAACAGAAATGCTTGTCAAAACGGAGGGACACCTTTATCGGGCCGATGCGGTTGTAGGACCGGATATACGGGAACATGCTGCGAGCGAGGTACGAACTGATATTCATACATGTAAAATATAGTATTATATTTTATAKCTCCTGCAAGTTTTATTCAAATTTTTATGTTTTATCTAAGACATTACTTTTCTTTTTTATAATATTGAAACGCGACACATATTTTTGCTCATGTATTTTCTGTATGTCCATATCACAAAAYGTTTATCACCAAGTGACATAGAAAATATAATGTTAGACTAGAGTGGCAGTATCAGTAAATGACATTAATTTAATCTCTTTTATAACTGATTAACTGTGACTTTTGTGCAGACTCATATCCCCGATATATCTCATGTCGACATGTCGACGTCAACTCTTTATTGGAACATTTATTAAATGTTGTGTTACAAAACCTTGGCGGATTGGTTTGGACATGATTAACGATAACAAAAAAAAATTCTTTCTATAACTTGAAACTTTATGAATGTCATTTATCTTCAAAATTTTGATTACACGGGTGTCTGAGAAAAGTGTATGGGGTCAATGGGCAATGAAGTAYGTTGCGTTATATTGAAGTCACGCGACGAAATTGATAATGTAAACGTKCAAAGATGAGAATATGTAAACGTGCCTTTAGCTTTAGTTATCCACTCTAAGATTCGCTGAGATGACATTGAAACTCCATTTATACTCGCTTATGACTCACGTGTTGTAATCATGCGTGACGCGTGACGTTTCATTCCGTTACAGAGCGAGTAAATTGTTTTTACCGTTGACTTGTCGAGACTGGCGTAAGAATTTCCTATAAGGTTTAAAAAACAGACTTCCGTTTAACGTGCTYGTTTGACGGTACGTGGTAAGCTAACACCGGAAGTCGATTAACTGACGTTGTGTTTCAGCAAATGTCATAAATATATTTTAACCAAATCAGCAAAATAACAATTAAGAAATTAAGTAGGCGCATCCGATGTTTAATATATCGTTACGGCTAATGCACAGAAATATAATCAACGATTCCTTATTGAATGCACGGCTATTCAAGTACGTAAATTTTCTAAACATCTTCACGTAATGCAATGGACCCTTCTCAAGATTATCTTGGATGCGAAGCTAGCGTGGAAATACAAAAGAAATGTGATTTCTTGTGTATTTTCATGTTAGCCTTGCATCCACGATAMTYTTGAGAAGGGTCCATTTTAATCCTGCCAGAGCTGGAACCCAATTTTACGGCTTTCAATATGATTCTTTTTTTCGAAAATAAGTTCAACGTCATCCTGCAAGATTCAAAGGCTCCCCCACCCTTTTTCGGAGCCCGTGAGTCCCTTGAACAAACTTAACAGTGCCCGAAAAGAAAGCAATGCGCAACTTATTGAGTTTGTTTCTCTGGCACTAATGTAGACAACATTACACAAACATGCCTAAAGTCACTAAAATAGCTGCTTCTTTTTAACAAAATTTGAAGCTTACAAAGTTGCATTTGATCTAAAATTCCGGCGCATTTGTCCCCAAAATCGATTGAGATCCTGAACTTTCTAGTTTTTTGTTCGGCTTCAAAGAAGAGTGAAAAGAGATTAAAATTTATTTTGCATTCCACATGTGCGCAGTTCTTTATTTAACATTTCTAAACTGTGTCTTCTCGTAGTTATTGAAAATAAAATTGGTCAAATATTTTAGATAGAATATTGAGATAGTACAGCTAGTGTTCTTGTAAGGCTAGAGAGAAGGCATTTAAACCCGTGAAAAAAAAATACTAGTAAACGTGTAATGTCAAATAGACACAAAAGAAAACGATGGAATTAGGGTCTACTAAAGTGTATTAGGCAAATCGACCAAATAAGGTTCGTTGACGTGACAGACGACCAAACGAACAACTTTGATGACTCCTTGTCAATCAGACCATAATTTAATGAATCGTGGACCTATCTTGATTGAAAGTTGTCATTTACGAACGCGATTGCCCAACAATTTTCTGGCGGTGGCAAAGTTTTTCCAAAGGATGGTAATAAAGAATAAAATAAYAATAATAATAATATAAAAATTCATCCGTGTAGGAAAATCCCCTTAGCATTATTCCACAGGGGCATTAGTTAAAGGTTGTTTTTTATGCATACTCATCTCTTTTACCAGTGGAGAGTGCTTTTGTTTATTGTTAAAACTTCTTCACTTAGTGACGTAGGATCGCTGAGACGGTGATGAAACGTGTTTAGACACACGTTGAGTTTGGTTACAAACATTTCTTTAGATTACGAGAACAACACAAATCGTCAATTAGATTWATTTCCAGAAATGAGTTGTTTCTTGTTTTCGAAAAACTTTTTTTCTGATATTGAGAAAAATCAAAACTTTTCGATAATAGAAAAGTAAAGGTGCTCTATCCAGCGCTGGTCATGTTTTTCGCTCAGTTTAATTTTAACTAGTTTTTACGCATTTTCCTGCGCCATTTTGGCTAAGGGTCTATTATTTCAAGACTTATCACCTTGATGCTAAACAGCGATACAGGGACTGCAGAGGCAGGAGTGGGGACGGGGGTGGGAAGTGGGGCCTTTTAGCACAAGTAAGAGGGTTGTAAAAATAAACTTGGAGATATCACCCCTTTTTGAATCGATCAGGGACCAATCACTGAGGCTCGAGTTGAATATAARGGGTCATTCAAGAAAACGTGAATGAATGGAACAGTTCTACTCTATTGCTTTTCTAGRGTTTCTCTCCGGATTCTTAAGTCAGTATTTTTCTTTAGCTCTGCAAAAATCTTGAGGTTGTACTTTAAACCTAGCCTGCGTTGCTTTGCGGTCTGCGGTGTTGCGAGAAACGCAGGCAACTCTAAACAGTAATTATCCTGGTGGGATAATATCCGCGAAGCCAATCTTCAATTTTATCACAAACATTTCAGTGCAAAACTTTTCTTATTGAGTGTTTTCATAGCGGCCATGATGTTGCAGGCCAAAACATGCATCTTTGAATAAATTTTCTCTCTTTGGGAAATTCAAATTTAAACTTTTTAATTTAACTTCTTTAATTTTAATTGTTATAGTTTTAATCGTTTTCATTTTAATTGTTTTAATTTCTATTTCTTTTTAATTTAAATTTTTTTTTTCATTTTCATTTTTTCATTTCAGTTTTAATTTTTATTCTTCTTTTAAGTTAATTAATTATAAATATAAGAAAGATCGGAAGGTAGCCATATTATTTTTCGAGCAAAAACATGGTCTTTTCCCTGCATTACAGCATCGATGCCGTAAAGCTTCCTCATCGGAATACAGTCTTTACCTTAAAATAAAATAATGTCAAACAAAGTTTTAAAAGATGATTTTCATTTCAGATGTGGACGAATGTTTAAATAGACCCTGTCAGCATACTTGTATCAATACCTTTGGTAGCTACACATGTCGATGTCGTGCTTGCTACRCTAAAGYTGGTACGCKTTGTSATCTACGACAGTGCAGCATTGGAGGTCGTTGCTATGCATATGGTACAAAGAACCCTAGCAACGCATGCCAGGTATATTCTAATATGTAATTATCTATGTTCCTTTCAGAGCCTTTGTTTCGTTTGATCAGCGGTAACAGTAAACGATCCGCTCATGCGCACTAAAATCCCCAGTTTTTATTACACGTGTTACTTACTTGCCTTTTTCGTTCAAATCCAACAGGATTGCRACAGCGCAAACAAAGTAGCCTGGACCAATAACAACGCTCTTCCGTGTAGTGATGGTAACTTGTGTACACGAGCAGACCACTGTGTTAATGGACGATGTGTAGGCACACCCTTCACGTGTTTATCATGTGAACGGTGCAACGGGAACACGTGTACAGTCAAGCCAGGTTTCTGTACTATTACTGTGAATGGAATAAAAAAATGTTTCAGCCATACTGCCTTGAGACCAGGATTTCCTTGCCAGGTATTTGTCTATATGATTAGATGTTTTGTATCGTGTCCAAGTTTTCTATCTTTTTTTTTTTTTTCAAATTTGAGGGTTACTTAGCATAATCACCAAAACAAACAAACAAACAAACAAAGACAACAACAAACAAAAAAACAAAGACAAAGCAAAAACAAAAACAAAAACAAATCAAATTCTACCAAACCCTGAAAAAACCTTCCCGGTGATCTAAATTTTCAAATTCAGCCCATGAAGTTAGGGCATGGCAAACTCATAAATCGAATCGGAGCTTGTAGCTACTAAGGTCTTTTGGGGAGAAACAGAAAAGCAGAAAATACATAGTCGAAATCTCTCGAATCAAGGAAGAAACTTAAGAAACTCAGCTCGCATGTTATGGTTGGTCCTGGAATTAACCTAGACCCCAGAGGTGAGTGTACTACTTCTACGCTAGCCTTGGCAATGTTTGCCATATTTTGCTACCAAGACATCGAATGCTTGACTATAAATTTGTTTAAATTTGTTGCTAGTAAAGGCAAAAGAAGTCGGATGCATCATACGCCTAATTTAAATTTGCCCTGTATGCCCTCACCAGGAATTTTGAAATTCAAATTCTCGAATATGATACCAAAGGACGTCATCAGAAAATGTATGTAGTTGTTGTTCTGTTCCTTGGCACGAAGGTTTTTCGGCTAGAATCCGCTAGAATCAACATGTGAGTTGTAAGCATAGGATATTGAATGTATTGGTATGAGTGAAAGTGGACCAAATTGGAGTA